TTTCCGATGGTCTTAGGAACCGAGACACCGCTCCTCTGACTCAGTCGATGTGTGGGCGGGATGACACACTGCCCTGTCACCTGGCCACACCTCCGGGATCCCTCAACAGCTCCGCCTCCTCGCCGCTGATTGGCCACCGGAACTGTAGCTCAGGAGAGGCACACAGGCGGCCAATCACCGGCGAGGAGGTGGAGCTTGGAGAGGAGGAGCCGAGCGGCAGCGCGCGTAGATCTAAGAAGATCGAGGGAACTGCCGGAGTAAGTGAAGAGGAGAGCGGCCAGAGAAGGAAGACAGCTGACAGGTAAGTGAGAGAGCGAGCCCAGGCTGGAGCAGGGGTCAGCAAGGTAAGTATCATTGGTGTCAGTGGGAGGAATAGTGCCCCATCATTTGTGTGACTAATACCAACAATGGGGCACTATTTCTCCCACTGACACCAATGATGGGGCACTATTTCCTCCCCCCCCCGCACTGACACCAATGATGGGGCACTATTCCTCCCCCCCCACTGACACCAACGATGGGGCACTATTCCTCCCCCCCACTGACACCAACGATGGGGCACTATTCCTCCCCCCCACTGACACCAACGATGGGGCACTATTCCTCCCCCCCACTGACACCAACGATGGGGCACTATTCCTCCCCCCACTGACACCAAGAATGGGGCACTATTCCTCCCCCCACCGACACCAACGATGGGGCACTATTCCCCTCCCTGACCCCAAAGATGGGGCACTATTTCCCCCTCCACCACACTGACATCAATGATGGGGCACTATTCCTCCCACTGACACCAATGATGGGGCACTATTCCTCCCACTGACACCAATGATGGGGCACTATTCCCCCCACTGACACCAATGATGGGGCACTATTCCCCCCACTGACACCAATGATGGGGCACTATTCCCCCCACTGACACCAATGATGGGGCACTATTCCCCCCACTGACACCAATGATGGGGCACTATTCCCCCCACTGACACCAATGATGGGGCACTATTCCCCCCACTGACACCAATGATGGGGCACTATTCCCCCCACTGACACCAATGATGGGGCACTATTCCCCCCACTGACACCAATGATGGGGCTCTATTCCCCCCACTGACACCAATGATGGGGCACTATTCCCCCCACTGACACCAATGATGGGGCACTATTCCCCCCACTGACACCAATGATGGGGCACTATTCCCCCCACTGACACCAATGATGGGGCACTATTCCCCCCACTGACACCAATGATGGGGCACTATTCCCCCCACTGACACCAATGATGGGGCACTATTCCCCCCACTGACACCAATGATGGGGCACTATTCCCCCCACTGACACCAATGATGGGGCACTATTCCCCCCACTGACACCAATGATGGGGCACTATTCCTCCCACTGACACCAGTGATGGGGCACTATTCCCCCCACTGACACCAATGACGGGGCACTATTCCCCCCACTGACACCAATGACGGGGCACTATTCCCCCCACTGACACCAATGACGGGGCACTATTCCCCCCACTGACACCAATGACGGGGCACTATTCCCCCCACTGACACCAATGACGGGGCACTATTCCCCCCACTGACACCAATGACGGGGCACTATTCCCCCCACTGACACCAATGACGGGGCACTATTCCTCCCACTGACACCAATGACGGGGCACTATTCCTCCCACTGACACCAATGACGGGGCACTATTCCTCCCACTGACACCAATGACGGGGCACTATTCCTCCCACTGACACCAATGACGGGGCACTATTCCTCCCACTGACACCAATGATGGCGCACTATTCCTCCCACTGACACCAATGATGGGGCACTATTCCCCCCACTGACACCAATGATGGGGCACTATTCCCCCCACTGACACCAATGATGGGGCACTATTCCCCCACTGACACCAATGATGGGGCACTATTCCCCCCACTGACACCAATGTTGGGGCACTATTCCCCCCACTGACACCAATGTTGGGGCTCTATTCCTCCCACTGACACCAACGATGGGGCACTATTCCCCCCACTGACACCAACGATGGGGCACTATTCCCCCCAATGACACCAACGATGGGGCACTATTCCTCCCAATGACACCAACGATGGGGCACTATTCCCCCCACTGACACCAACGATGGGGCACTATTCCCCCCACTGACACCAACGATGGGGCACTATTCCCCCCCACTGACACCAACGATGGGGCACTATTTCCCCCCACTGACACCAACGATGGGGCACTATTCCCCCCACTGACACCAACGATGGGGCACTATTCCCCCCACTGACACCAACGATGGGGCACTATTCCCCCCACTGACACCAACGATGGGGCACTATTCCCCCCACTGACACAACGATGGGGCACTATTCCCCCCACTGACACCAACGATGGGGCACTATTCCCCCCACTGACACCAACGATGGGGCACTATTCCCCCCACTGACACCAACGATGGGGCACTATTCCTCCCACTGACACCAACGATGGGGCACTATTCCTCCCACTGACACCAACGATGGGGCACTATTCCTCCCACTGACACCAACGATGGGGCACTATTCCTCCCACTGACACCAACGATGGGGCACTATTCCTCCCACTGACACCAACGATGGGGCACTATTCCTCCCACTGACACCAACGATGGGGCACTATTCATCCCACTGACACATCAGTGATGGGGCACTACTCCTTCCACTGACACCAATGATGTGGCACTAGTCCTCCCACTGCAAAATTACAGTTATGAAGTAGCAACGAAAATAATTTTATGGTTGGGGGTCACCACAACATGAGGAACTGTATTAAGGGGTCGCGGCATTAGAAAGGTTGAGAACCACTGATCTGGATGATCCAGAGGAGGCATGGGAGAAAGTCATGTGGTCAGATGAGACCAAAGTAGAACTTTTTGGTCTAAACTTCACTGGTCGTGTTTGGAGGAAAAAGAAGGATGAGTTGCATCCCAAGAACACCATCCCTACTGTGGAGCATGGGGGTGGTAACATCATGCTTTGGGGGTGCTTTTCTGCAAAGGGGACAGGACGACTGCACTGTATTAAGGAGAGGATGAATGGGGCCATTTATTGTGAGATTTTGAGCAACAACCTCCTTCCCTCAGTCAGAGCATTGAAGATGGGTCGTGGCTGGGTCTTCCAACATGACAACGACCCGAACCACACAGCCAGGATAACCAAGGAGTGGCACCGTAAGAAGCATATTAAGGTTCTGGAGTGGCTTAGCCAGTCTCCAGACCTAAATCCAATAGAACATCTTTGGAGTGAGCTGAAACTCCGTGTTGCTCAGCGACAGCCCCGAAACCTGACAGATCTAGAGGGGATCTGTGTGGAGGAGTGGGCCAAAATCCCTGTTGCAGTGTGGGCAAACCTGGTCAAGAACTACAGGAAACGTTTGACCTCTGTAATTGCAAACAAAGGCTTCTGTACCAAATATTAACACTGATTTTTTTCAGGCGTTAAAATACTTATGTTCAGCAGTGCAAGACAAATAAATTCTTTACAAATCATACAATGTGATTTCCTAAATCTTTTTTTTTAATTCTGTCTCTCAGAGTGGGAATGCACCTACAATGTAAATTTCAGATCCCTCTGTGATTTCTAAGTGGGAGAGCTTGCAAAATCACAGGGTGTTCAAATACTTCTGTTCCTCACTGTATATATATTTTTTTATTGAAATATATTTTTAAATATATTGAATATGGCCAAAATTTTAGCATTTTAAATAAATGGCAATATATTTGGGAATACTTTTAAAAGATATTTCAAATATATTTTTTTTTCCATATGGGATTCCAGGTTTGGACCGAAATCTAGCACCTCCATCCTGGAATCAACCATATGGTAAATAGAGTGCTACAGTGACTCCCGAATGGTCATGGTGTATAACATGGATTAGATAGGTCATGGGACCGTGCAGGGGACCCTTCATCAAGCAGATGGAATCACATGCTTGATGAGGGGTCCTTGAACACTCCCAAAATGTTCTTCCTATGCGATTGTGCGATAAAGAGCTTCCCACTTTGAAAAAAAAAGGCTTCCCAGTGTGGTGGAGAAATATCTTATCCAGCCTTGCTCAATAAAAAGGCACCTTTTGTCTTCCAGATCATTACCAATTGGCTGTCCAGTTTGACCTCCATTATCTTGATGTTAAGGTCAGGACTTTGCTCACAGAAGTCCTTCTTCTTTTTTTAATGACCGCACACCACCACACTAGAAGGAGGACCAAGGTCGTTGCAAGATCTCAGGAGGCGGGACCATGGGGTGATTTTGTTAAATGAGTTGGAAATATATCTGTAATTTCTACTCTCTCTCTCTCTACAGGCTAACATAGTTGCAAAAAAGATATCGGGAGATGGACAGGAATCCACCGCAGTCCCTCTATGTTCCTTACTGTTTCCAGAGAGAAACCACGAAAAGAAGATCCTAGAGGTCACCAAGAAGATCATCGACCTGCTGACCGGAGAGGTGAGCGGTGCCGGGAATTCTTGGACATTCTCCAGTAACAGACAAGGGATGTGTCTGGATGGTGACTGTATCATTGTGTGTGTCAGGTTTTCCATCCTTACCCGGCACCAGAAGGTCCCATCATCAACAATGCCGAAGTGGAATTTAAAAAAATGAAGAAGAGGAGGAGGAAGATGTGAGGGATGATCGGTCGTGTAACCTGGAGGAAATCCAATCAGAGATGGAAAGAGGTGAGGTGTAAACACCAAATACAGACAGTTTTTTGGTCTGGTGCATTCCGATCTTGTTCTGTTGTTGGGACTAATATTGGGTGACCACTTCTTTTCTGCATTGTTCTATTTGGAGATTGCTCAGAAATATACAGGAACTGAGCACTAGTGTTCGTAGTCAACTGCTTGTTTTGGAGGCCCTTAGGATGTCCACCACCAATCATCATCACTTAGAGATCCCCCATCATCTTATAAACACATAGAAACAATGGATTCAGTCAGTGTGTGTTTCCTACAGATAGATCCAGTAATGGGAACCCACCAGAGAGATGTCCCCATCCTCTGTATTTCCGGGATTCCACACAGGAAGATCATACCATCCTTCACCATCATCAGGTAGATGGATCCAGTAATGGGAACCCAACAGAGAGATGTCCCCGTCTTCTGTATTTCCGGGATTCCACACAGGAAGGTCACACCATCCCTCACCATCATCAAGTAGATGGATCCAGTAATGGGAACCCACCAGAGAGATGTCCCCGCCTTCTGTATTTACGGGATTCCACACAGGAAGATCACACCACCCCTCACCATCATCAGGTAGATGGATCCAGTAATGGGAAACCACGAGAGAGATGTCCCCGTCCTATGTATTCCCGGGATTCCACACAGGAAGGTCACACCATCCCTCACCATCATCAGGTAGACCTTTAACAGTCATTGGTAGTTAGATTGTGATCTGTACATTTGTTACATTTTTACTATTTTGTGTTACATTTACATTCAGGGTAGAAGCTGGAGCAATTTTAATACTACTATTAAAAAAGAGATAAAAGAAGAGAAGGAGGATAGTATGATGGAGGAGTATTTAGAAGGACACAAGGATCTCTACAAGGACGTCATGATGGACAATCAACCGCCCCTCACATCACCGGGTAAGAGGAGACTTTATTGTAAAGGAGAGAGAAGTACGGAGGGACCACCTAGATCCCCCATCATCTGATATACACATAGAAACAATGGATTCAGTCAGTGTGTGTGTTTCCTACAGATGCATCCGGTCATGGGAACCCACCAGAGAGATGTCCCCGTCCTTTGTATTCCCGGGATTCCACACAGGAAGATCACACCATCCCTCACCACCATCAGGTAGATGGATCCAGTAATGGGAACCCACCAGAGAGATGTCCCCGTCCTTTGTATTCCCGGGATTCTACACAGGAAGGTCACATCATCCCTCACCATCATCAGGTAGATGACTGAGGACGTCAATCTCAAACTTGACACTAAACTGTGTCAGATTATATCCTTCTATGTAGTCTCGGTATATCAGTGCTGATAATCATTTTGTGATTTAGGAGGTTGAAGTGATTGATATGAAAATTGAGGTTAAAAAGGAAGAAGAGATGTATGTGAGGGGAAATCAGCCATCTATGAAGGAACCTGAAATGAGGGTGACAATTACTAAGGAGGAATCTTCTCTAGATGTCAGCAGAAGTAAGTATTATTATATATACCCAAAATTGAGCATATTTGTACTTTACTTCACATTTGTTTCAAAAAAGGTATGCAAATCGACTGAAAAAATAAGCAGACCCCCACACCATCCAATAAGAAGAAATTCAGTTATAAATGGTGGACCAGCCAAGAGGTGCACATATTATTTTTAAACTTTTTCAGCTAGTTTACAATTAGTTTTTAAAAATAAAGAATGGAAAGTACTACTAATCTGTATAACATCCTTAATCTCTAAGGTGGAAATGTTTCCGCTGTTGTCCGTAGGAACATCGTCAATGTAACTACACCACCTGCTAATATGCCCAACAAATTAGGTGGAGATGCTATACATCATATGATAGATCAATAGCCAGGCTTCACCAGAAGAATATAATCTTTGTATTTACCAATGTACTCTCAAATCTCAAAAATTGGAGAGGAGATCATTTACACACTGAAAAGTTCATCTCCATTCCTCAATATAACGTCATGTTCCCAACAAATGAGGAGGAGATACTGTACACCATATGAAAGGTCCATCTCCATTCCTCAATATAATGTCATGTTCTCAACAAATGAGGAAGAGATACTGGACACCATATGAAAGGTCCACCTCCATTCCTCAATATAATGTCATGTTCCCAACAAATGAGGAGGAGATACTTGTCAGGGAACGAGAAGATCGCCACGACGCATGAATCTGCACATGCGTAGGATCCCGACAAGACATAGAGGCAGGCGGGCACTAGGACCCAGGCGTGCCTGTCACCAATGACGGCGACGGCAGGCACTAGAACCCAGGCGTGCCTGTCAGCGCCGGGCGGGCTATTTAAACCAGCTCTTGTAATGCTCACATTGCCGTATGGTCTTATTCCTGTGTTCCTGTTCCTAGTACCTGAGTTTGCCTTTGTTGCCGAACCTGCCTGACCCAGATTATCATGACTCTCTTCTGCCCTGATCCCTGGCTTGTCTGACCATTCTTCTGCTTTCTCCTATTTACCTGACCTCCTGTTGCTGAACCTGGCCTGTAACCCGTTTATCCTTTTGCCTGCTGATCTGTACCGTCTGCCTCCGCTGTTACCGACCTGGCCTGTCTGACTACGTTACACACTACCTCTTCACATCTGGCTCTCACTTGTTACCTACCACTGGCAAATCCACCTCTACCACAGCTGGTTGAACTCGGGGGTCGCGACCTGGTCTCAGGCTGCTTCAAGTCCATCCCCACCATCAGGGGCTCTGGTGAAACAGCAGACTGAGGCTTAGATTCTGCGCCCTGAGGGATTTCGGCCTGTGGGTCGCTAGAGGCTACTGCCAGTCGGTCCTTAACAATACTGGACACCATATGAAAGGTCCATCTCCATTCCTCAATATAACGTCATGTTCCCAACAAATGAGGAGGAGATACTGTACACCATATGAAAGGTCCATCTCCATTCCTCAATATAACGTCATGTTCCCAACAAATGAGGAGGAGATACTGTACACCATATGAAAGGTCCATCTCCATTCCTCAATATAACCTCATGTTCCCAACAAATGAAGAGGCGATACTGGACACCATGTGAAAGGTCCATCTCCATTCCTCAACATAACGTCATGTTCCCAACAAATGAGGAGGAGATACTGGACACCATATGAAAGGTCCATCTCCATTCTTCAATATAATGTCATGTTCCCAACAAATGAGGAGATACTGTACACCATATGAAAGGTCCATCCCCATTCCTCAATATAATGTCACGTTCCCTACAAATGCGGAGGAGATACTGTACACTATATAGAAGGTCCATCTCCATTGCTCAATATAACGTCAAGTTCCCAGCAAATGCGGAGGAGATACTGGACACCATATGAAAGGTCCATCTCCATTCCTCAATATAACGTCACGTTCCCAGCAAATGAGGAGATACTGTACACCATATGGAAGGTCCACCTCCATTCCTCAATATAATGTCACGTTCCCAACAAATGAGGAGCAGATACTGTACACCATATGGAAGGTCCACCTCCATTCCTCAATATAACGTCATGTTCCCAACAAATGAGGAGGAGATACTGTACACCATATGGAAGGTCCATCTCCATTCCTCAATATACCGTCATGTTCTCAACAAATGAAGACTGGACACCATATGGAAGGGCCATATCCTTTTACCAGTATAATGTCATGTTTCCAACAAATCAGGTGGGGAGAGTTCCATGACTAGCAATGTAATTGTATTACCTCGACACTTATCTGATTTCAGTCCTTGTGTTGGTGTAATTGTTGTACCTAATTTTGTGCCAGAGCTCTTGGGAACAGTTGACACATAGAAAATGAGCGATGCTGTAGCTATTTTTTTGCTTAAATTTCCAACAGGTGGAGGCGATGGCTGGAATATCTCAGGAGGACATATTTCTTTATCTCGGGATGAAGATAATGACATGGCCCAAAATTCTCCAGGAGTAAGACTATTTACACAATATATACATCACAAATTTGATTGTTTGGAGAGACCAGCAGATCCCTTTAATTGTGAAGAATCCAAAACTGTTATTCTAAATGTCCCACCAGGCTGTCACGGTGCAGATGGACCACCAGATCCTGCTAATCCTGAGGAATGTTCTTCTAATAATGTGGATACAGTAACAAAAAGAGACAATAAAATGTTTTTATTAGGGTGTGTTCACAACACAATAAATCACAAAGTTGACTTTCCGTTTCCATGTTCGGAATGCAGGAAAGGTTTTAAAACAAAAAGGGAACTCCAAATTCATCAGATGGTGCACGCCGGCAAGGAGATCTATTCTTGCCCAGACTGCCAGAAAGAGTACATGACTCATCATGGCCTGATGGAACACAAGAAACTTCACACAGGTGAAAAGCCCTACACGTGTTTGAAGTGTGAAGCATCTTTCGGCCTCAGATCGCAACTCACTGCCCACCAGAAAGTCCACTACGAGCAAAAACCCTTTTCATGTTCCGAGTGCCGGAAGTCCTTCATCACCAGCCAAGAACTCATTCTTCACCAGAGGGCACACACCAGGGAAAAGCCCTTTTCGTGTTCTGAGTGTGGAAAGTCTTTCACCGATAAATCGCAACTCAATAGACACCACAGAGTCCACACTGGAGAGAAGCCTTTTTTCTGTCCCGAGTGTGGAAAGTGCTTTTCCGATAAAGGGAACTGTGATAGGCACATGAGAAGTCACACCAGTGAGAGGCCATTTTCCTGTTCAGAATGCGGCAAATGTTTTAAACTCAAAGGAGCACTAACTTCCCACCAGAAAAGTCACCACCCTAACACCAGATTCTGGTGATGTTTCATAGGCTCAACTCTTCTGTCTGGAGGACAATCATGATTAGGATGATGAAGTTTAAAATGGTTAATCCATCCAGTTGGTAGAGTTTACTTTTAGGTACTTTGGTTTTGTTTTAATTTTTTCAAAATGTTCTTATCATTTATTGCACATTTTCAGCTAGTCTCCCCACCACCACCACCATCATTTTTTGTTGGTAATCTGATGATCTGGGATCCCTAACTTATGATGGAGGGTGAAGTACCACACGCAACCACCGCAGGCTTCCTTTGTTTGTTCTCATATGCATAAGTTCTTATTTATCTTTTTCTACTGTCTCATCAAGACAAGAATTGAGGGGGGTCTCTCCATAAAGGTCAGGAACGATGGTGTGGTCTCAGAATTGAATGGCAGCAATAAAATAAAGTTCTCGTTGCTAAATCATAATGTGGACTCTTGATTCCTATGAGATTATGCGTTAGATACTACAGTCAGGTCCATAAATATTGGGACATCGACACAATTCTAACATTTTTGGCTCTATACACCACCACAATGGATTTGAAATGAAATGAACAAGATGTGCTTTAACTGCAGACTGTCAGCTTTAATTTGAGGATATTTACATCCAAATCAGGTGAATGGTGTAGGAATTACAACAGTTTGCATATGTGCCTCCCACTTGTTAAGGGACCAAAAGTAATGGGACAGAATATTAATCATAAATCAAACTTTCACTTTTTATTACTTGGTTGCAAATCCTTTGCAGTCAATTACAGCCTGAAGTCTGGAACGCATAGACATCACCAGACGCTGGGTTTCATCCCTGGTGATGCTCTGCCAGGCCACTACTGCAACTGTCTTCAGTTCCTGCTTGTTCTTGGGGCATTTTCCATTCAGTTTTGTCTTCAGCAAGTGAAATGCATGCTCAATTGGATTCAGGTCAGGTGATTGACTTGGCCATTGCATAACATTCTACTTCTTTCCCTTAAAAAACTCTTTGGTTGCTTTTGCAGTATGCTTTGGGTCATTGTCCATCTGCACTGTGAAGCGGCGTCCAATGAGTTCTGAAGCATTTGGATGAAT